GCCGATGGAAAATCTACTAAGAGCCAACTGGTTATTCCAAAAGATCGAGTAGAAGATGTATTAAAAGAAATAAATGACGGTCGAACTTCAGAGGCACATTTTGGAGTTAACAAGACTTTGGACAAAATTCGGGAACGTTTTAACTGGGTTCACTGTCATGAATTGAAAACTGATGCCAGAAATGCGACATCTGTGCTACCATTAAAGGCCCTAAACTAAGATCTCAGGGGGCCATGAAACAACAGTACAACGTCGGTCTCCCATTTAAAAGAATAGCGAGAGATGTAGCTCAGTACATGGCCAAAAGTTTTCACTATTCCCAATCAAAAAGCCATCACTTTTGCTTAGGTACTAGAGTTACATTCAGATCAGGCACGAAACTTTGAATATGCCATCTTTAAGGAAATTCGTAAGATCATGGGCATTCATAAGACAAGGACAACAAACATTTAACTCTTATTTTTAATGGCTTACAGAGCAGCTGTTCACGAGTCAACAGATGTAAGTCCATCTAGAATCGTTTTTGGAAGTGAACTCAGGTTACCTTGCGATTTGATGTTTGGAATACCTGAAGAAGAACGAAAAGAAATTCGAGATTATGCCGACGAAGTAAGGGCACGACTTCTGGGAATACACTATTTAGTTCGGGAGCATATTCACCTGGCCAGTGACCAAATGAAGACCAGATACGACTTGAAAGCCATTTCAGTCGGATTTCAAGAAAGTGATTTAGTGTGGCTGTATAATCCAGCAAGAAGCAAAGGAGTGTCGCCGAAATTGTCTTGTCAGCATGAGAAGGACCCTACCGAATAATCAAGAGGATCAATGATTTGGTTTATCGAGTTCAGCGCAACACCACAGATGAAAGTTGTATATTTGGACAGATTGACGAAATATCATGAGCGCGAAGTTGATCGGGACGATCAACCTTAACCTTCAACGACCCGCGCCGGTGTATGAAATACACCATTTCTACTAAAAGGGCAGTAAAAACCCAATCCGGTATCCTTCACGCATGCCCCTCGATGTTAACCTACGACCTTTTTGTTTACAAGGTGCTCAGACAGTTGCGTTTTGGTAACTGGATAGTTAGTTGGTTCATTGACAATTTCTTTAGTGCACTACAGTCTAGTGTATGAAATACACCAGCGCAGGTAGCTATGTAAGTAATATTGACTGTCATTTAGGGGCTCCTATTTTTCCATAAAATTAGTGTTTATGTCGATTTTTGTTCTTTTTTATCATTTAGGGACAAAATAAAAATAAGAATCCCCAACAAATTGGCACAGCAAGAAGTTAGACGAGCTGGCTCAAGTGATTTGCGATTCCGATTCAGAAGAAGAATTACACGACGATTATGCCGATACTTCTTCTGAAGAGTACATAAAAGACGCTGAACATGACATGACTTCGAATCACAAATCGAAGGTAACTACTCCGAACCAGAAATCGAAGGACTAGATGGAACAAAAATTCGCTAAAAAGCGAATTCAGCAAAGTTAGCGCTAAAAATCTTGTGAAAATCTTCCCCGGTGCCAAACAGCAAGCAAGGGACATTCAAAATAAAGTAGATGCTTCTATGAGAATATTCACAAATGAAATAATAGAGTACATAATCAGTTATACACGAATCTACACATTCCGAATGTAAGGTTTCGATTTATGAGGGAACGTGACGCTAAAGACGTATCAAAAACAGAAATGCAAGCATTCATGGGTTTGCTATTGTTATCTGGATATAAGAAACAAATCATACCCACTTTTTGGATTTCTGGACAACAGATGGCATGGATAAAAACCGGTTTCTATTTCAACTTGCCGTTATTCGATTTGATGATAAAAGTAGAAGGAATGAAAGAAAAATTATAGATAAGTTGGCTACAATAAGATGGGTCCATTGATAAATTCATAGAGAAATGCAAGCAAGAACAACTACTCTGTGGGCGAATTTGTAACAATTGATGAAATGTTGTTACCTTTCCGAAGACGCTGTAGTTTTCTTCAATATTTTCCGAATAAACCGGCAAAGTATGGCCTGAAAGTTTTCGTATTGAGTGATGCAAAAACATATTATGTGTCAAAGTTTATTGCGGTAAGCAACCCGAAGGCCCCTTCACCATGCCAAATACACCTAATGCGATTGTTCACTGCTTGTTGAATGAAGTGACAGGTAATAGTAATCGGAAATTGACGTACGATAACTGGTATTCAAGTTATCCTCTAGCAGAAGAATTATTGGTAGAGAAAATTACTATCATTGGAACCATGAAAAAAAAAAAAAAAAAAAACGCGAAATACCACAAGACTTTTTGCCTCATAGAAGTAGACCTGTGAAATCTCCGTTGTTTGGATTCCAGAAAAAATTCACATTGGTTTCCTTCGTGCCGAAAGCAGATAAAGCGGTCGTATTGATCTCAACAATGCACGAGTATGGAAATATAGATCCAGTTACGAGTAAACCTGATATCATCTTACATTATAACGGCACCAAAGAAGGAGTTGATACTGTTGATAAAATGTGTGGCAAATACTCAGTATCAAGAAGAACAAGACGATGGCCTTTGGTTATATGCTTCCAACTCATGAAGATCGCAGGAATCAATGGACAACTGCTCTATAATGCAACTCATGTCGATGCAGCTCACAAGCACAGATGGAAATTTTTGAAGGTGCTCACCTTAGGTTTGATGAAGCCATATCTCTCTGAATGTGCCAGCATTCAGTGATTGCCAAGTGACATAAAGTTTCCTGACAAAATACAAAAAACCAACAGATGACACCGATGAGGAGCCACCTGCAAAATACGTGCGAGGTGTTTTATTTGCGGTAGGAAAAAAAATCGAGTCACAACCCTCATCTGCGGAAGTTGCAATAGGTCAGTCTGCAAACAACATATGACAACAGTTGTTACATGCGCGCGATTCCTGCAAAAATGGCGAGGCAAGCAGCAGATGAAAGAAGCACTATGTCAGGTTTTAATTTTAAGAGTTTTTTTTTAAATTTCTTCTTGAATGCCTTCTTTGTTGTCTTTTTTTTATCTAGTATTGTAATAATGTATGCTATATTCAATAAAACGCATGATAAATCAAGGCAACATGTTTTCTTATCCCTATACATTGATTTATGCACTCAATCACACATTCATAGATTGGTGTACATGATACACCGCGTTGGTAACTATAGCAGATTCTAGAGCGCGAGCAGCTTAAGGTTGAAAGGAGGGCAGTGTGGCGCGGTCGCCAGTATGTACAGAATCTTGGAACTTGGAATCTAGAAAATACTGTCTTTATTCGGGCAAAAAATAATTATCGCGTTTATTCTGGATTCTACACGAATAGTTTGCTGATATATAAAGGCCGGTATTAGTATTTTTAAGTTGAAGATTGACAGTGATATATGATTTAGATAGTGATTATTGTTAAGAGCTGTAAAGTGTTAAGTTGTTTGAGTTAATTAGTGAAGTAATTAATGAGTGTGTAGTAACGTGGAATAAATTATTGTTGTGTTAATTGGACTTTGATTTTGGAATAAACGAACCCAAGATTTCTGTCACACACCCAGAGCCGGGACATTATAATCAGAGTAGGTGCCTAAGGAAGGTAAAGGAATTTCAAGGAAGTTAGCGGAATTGCTGATAAAAAGTAAGGGAATTTAATTTTGTGGAAATCCAGAGGAGTAATAGAAAAACAAGTCTAAGGAAGTCTTGGGAAACTTGAAGAGAGTCAATAAAGTATGGGGGAATTACTAGTGAAAGAATTCCATGGAAGTTAGCGCAATCACTGATGAAAAGTAAAGCAAGGAGAGTAGTTTTGTAGGAATCCAGAGGAGTATGACGGAAACAAGTGTGGGTAAAGTTGGGAAAAATCAAGGAAGGTGGAAATTACTTTGAAGGGAATTATGGCACCAGATAGTAGGGTAGATTATTTCATGGATTCCTGGAACTATGAAGTTTAAGAAATTCGCAATTTGTACCTACCTCTTGTCTACTCTGGAATCCAAAGTTAATTAAAGATTCTGAAATCACTTATAAAAATTCTAAACTTCGCAAATTGAGAAGCATTAACTCTAGTAAGTTAAAAAGTGTCTCAATCACTTTTCAAATAATCCAAAATAAATAAAAGATTCTACAGTTCTAAAATTAATCAAAGTGTTCAGAGTTGCTTTAAAGCATCTAAAACAACTTTCAAAGCATCTGAAATCACTTATAAAAATTCTAAATTTTGCAAATTTAGGGAGAACGCAAAGAAAATAAGAATGTCTTTGGAAGCTAGAAGAAAGTCAAGAAAGTATGGGGTATCAAAGTGCCTAAATCCAAGAAAGCTACATGAATTACTTGCTGGGCTAAACCCAAACCTAAATGGCTCATAAATAGTAAGGGAATTTTGTAGAAATCTAGGGGAGTAAGAGAAAACAACTCTAGGAAGTCTAAGAAAACTTGAAGAGAGTTATTAAAGTAGAAATCAAAAAGAGTTTGAGGAAAATAAGTCTGAGGAAACCTTGGGAAACTTGGAAAAAGTTAATAATGAAGTATGGGTAGAATCTGGAATTACCTAGCATAGGAATTCCAAGGAAATTAGCAAAATTGCTAGGGAATTCTGTAGAAATTACGTAGAGTAATAGGAAAACAACTTTAAGGAATCTTGGAAAACCTAGGGAGAGTTAATAAAGTATGGGGACTTACTAGTAAAGGAATTCCATGGAAGCTAGCGTATTCGCTGATGAAAAGTAAGGCAAGTAAGGTAGTTTTGTAGGAATCCAGAGGAGTATCGGGAAAACAAGTGTTAGTAAACTTGAGAAAAGTCAAGGAAGTATGCAGATACAATAACGCAGCTTCGAACAAGTTGGAAAAAAATTGAAGGGAGTTAATATGTCACCCAGATGTATAGTATTTAGATTATTTCATGGAATCCTATGAAGTTCAAGAAATTTGCATTTATTACCTCTTGTCTACTCTAAAATCAAAAAAATTATGACATTATGAGATGCTCAAAAATACTTACCAATCGTTGGATCATGATAATCCAGGAAACTGTGGCTGACAAACTGTAGAGTCACAGCTGAAATAAACATTTATGTTACCTATCACTGGTGTGTGAAATTGTTTGGGCATTACCTACCTGATTTTCCTACACCACCATCTCCCAAAACAACAATCTTGTACACCCTGCTTCCGGGTCGTTTATTTTGATTGTTACTGCTTCCCACACTTCTATCAACTTCGATTTCTGCTTCTTTCGCAGACCTATTGGATTCTTGGTGAGTTAGTTTGCCTCGTTTTTTGAAACCCGCTTCCCCGGCCATCAGACGCACTTGTGTCTACACTGTTTTATGGCGAATTCATAGAGACATAGTTTTATTTTAGGAATTTAACGAGTGGACGTGCTCCTGCTGAATTTGTTCATAATTTTCAGCAGGAACAGATGACTAGGTGACGAATGACGTTGACGTTAGTCAAACTAATCAGGCTCCGGAACTAGGCTCGAAAAATTCACAAGCTACTCTGATAAGCTTGAAACGAATAGAATATTTCTTTGAGCCTATATAGAGACCTCTAGGTATTAGAGCTTGCATTTGTTAGAGCTACAATCGATTTAGAGACATGCATTTTCAAGGGATAGCGGCCTTGAAGAAGAGGAGTTCTCAAGGGTTTTTAAACATCGCCATAGATATAAAAATGCCGTCTGAATAATAAACGTCAATCAGACATTTCTCAAACTCCTATATAGAGCCTTCTATAAACGAGAATATATTTCAGCAGCGAGATCTATACCTAAGTAATAACACAGGTAATAAGATAACAATGGCTTGTCGAGGGTCGGCAGAATCGTCGAGCTACCCACCACTTTATTGTTCAGCGCTGCAACCCCTAATAAATTCAGGTAAAATTTCTAGAGGCAGAGAGGGCTCTGTACGACTTTGAGAAGAATTTATTGCTATAGAATTTCAATTTGACCTTATAATTGACCCAGTTGGAGCAACAACCTCTCCTCAATATTGGTGATAACCACTAAACAATAAGTAGGTACCTAATTCAAAACTAATCAAAATTCTTTGTAAGAGAGCCACTTATCACTTATTTCTCTAAATTTACAACCCTAATAATTTAAAAGCTCAAATCTCTAGAGGGCTCTGCTAGTCTATTCGGGCGAATCTGATAGAGCATCACGTACGCGCAAGCGGTGAACATTTGGAAAAGCTCAATACATTACTAGAGCCATCTAGAGGAAGGAGCTTGAAATTATTAAAGTCCCGATTGATAATTTAGAGAAAAAGTAGCTCTAAACAAGAGTTTGTTGAAAGATGGCGGACCGTAGGATCTGTTTGAATAAAATCTAGGCTCAAATTCTGAGTAACCTCTACAAGGATTTTGAGCATGTTGGACCTTGATAATTATATTACGTCTTATATAGAGGGCATTAATTCAACTAGCTCAAATCATGATGATGCTTCTCAAAGGCGTATAGAACCCTCTACCTCTAGAGATTTGAGCCTCAATTTATTAGAACAAACAGAGATCAATATTCAGTAAAGTTGAAGAGATTGGAGTACTTCGTGTTTGAGAGCTAGATCTCGTTTAGGGAAGCAACAATAGATATTATTTGAGTATAAATTTGTTAAGCTCACTCTACGAAGGGTTTTGAGCATAAACCCATTGGTTCAAAAATAATTTAATTGCCTGAAACATATGCTTCTCAAAGTCGTCTAGAGCACACTACCAGTAGATATATGAGCCGAAGTCTTATAATTTATAAGAAAGAATTAAGCAGAGATCAATATTCAATAAGTAGAAAAGATTGGAGATTGGAGATTAGACTTATTTAAGTTTGAGCATAACCATTATTAAATCGAAAAAGTAGAGTCCATATCTCAAAGTAGAGTTGACATTTAATTCAGAAGAAAAACTCAAAGTCTTCCACCACAAATACTTTATTCGTGTTAAACTAAATGGCCCTACATCTTTCGGGATTAGATAAATATTCATTCAAGGGATATAGGGAGATTATTAGATCCCTTTATTGAATAGGAGAGACTAGACCATTTTGAATATAAATTTGTTAGGTAGAAAGATTTCTCTACAAAGGCTTTGAGCATAATCATTGCTTCAAAAATGATTGACCTTGATATGTACACTTATATGAAGGTCGTTGATTCAACTATAGGCTCCAGTCATTATGAACCTGAAAAAAATATTTCGCAAAGTTGTATAGAGCCCTCTATACCTATAGAGATTTGAGCCTCAATTTATTAGAAGAAGCAGATAATACCTATATTCAATAAGTTGAAGATGATATTGGAAATTGAAGAACTCGTTTAGGGCAACAATAATGATGTTTATTAGATATTTGAGTATATTTGTATAAAGGGTTTTGAGCCTATAACCATGGTTCAGAAATGGTTGACTTTGATTCAATTCAACTGGCTCAAATCATGCGAACTGGAAACAGATAAAGCTCTGACAGATGGTCCTCAAAGTTGTATAGAGCCCTCTAGAGGTTAGAGCCACAATTAATTAGAGAAGGCAGAGATCAATATTTAATAAGTTGAAGGCATTACAGATTAGAGCACCCTAAGTTTGAGAGCTAGAACTCGTTTAGTTTCCCTTAATTTTAGGGGTATAGCTTCAAGAACTCTGTTTGAATGGTTTTGAAGCAGAACATTTTACTTTTTCCATTTAAATATGGCTGACTTGTTGACTCATAAAAGTCAGCTGACTTTTATTTATTTATCACAATATTGTTTTTGTTATTATTATTGTACATAAACAAAATCTATCTATGATGGGTGTTTTTGTATGAAAAAGGCCAATGTTATTTTGATAAACACAATGAAATCATTAACATTACAATAGGAAATATAAACTATTGATATGGGGACAAAGCGAAACTATCAGGTACCTTTTTATCTCTTATTTGAATAAGTATTTATTTCGATTAGCAATATCACAATAACAATAATATCGTAGGTACTATGAACTGCATCTTTGTAGTTCTCTTGCCTTAAATTTTATTATTATACCTATATTCACATTATGCACAATATTAAATATCACAAATACATTGCTGGTAGTAGCCCTCCAATTACTAGTAATTTGAGTTTACAAAGAAAGAGTTCTAATGATCATTTAGGTGAAGGTAGTAGTGAAAATAAAGATGAAACTGTTTTGAGGGATAAAAGGAGCAATACAGTTAAGGTAAATAGAAAATAATTTTTGTTTTTACTTGAGTCTTTGAGAGCATATCGCATAAAATAATTATTCTAAAATAAGATCTAACCTATAACTAGAAGATTGATGTATCTATGTAGTCCAGCAATAATCTTATTAGTTTGTGAGTGAGACCCTTATTTGAAATTTAGTGTTTTTTGTTAGCAAAAAATCACTAATCTGCAGGCAAAAAATGCTTTTAACTAACCTAAAAATTATTCTAGACTCTACAATCTACTCAGAATCAACTTACAGCGTTGCCACCGTTTAACTTAATTCTTGATTTTCAAAAATTGAAAAGTGAGGACATACCTACAAGACAAAAATGGAACAATAAATTATTGATGTATCTCTGTATTTCCAATTAATCCATCAATAACCTTATCTTATTGTATTTGCAAATTTACTTTTAACTTATTTCTTTTTCAGGAGAACTTGGATCCACCGCCTCCTCGTGACATTTCCAAAGAAAATCTTGGACTCTGGATTGGATGGACCTACAAAAGCGATCGTGAAGTAGTTCGGGAAGCTGCTTCAAAAGGAGACGTGCCGTTAGCCATCAATTTCCTCAGTCTACGCAAAAATGTGGAAGCTTATAAAATTAAAGAGTTTATTGATGCAGAGGTATACAGGCATCAGCTACCAAATTTCACAAATATTATAGATACGAATTATCAATTTTCCAGATCCTACTATGGGTTGATGAGCTTTTAAACAGAAAGCTCATCTTCAGAGTATTCACCATCTTGCAGAACATTGACAGAGACCCTATTACCGAACTTCAAAATATGTTTAGAAAAACCACAAGTTCTGATAGGCGGGAGTATATTGGAAACCATCTCAAAACCAGAGATGGTTTGCCCAAGTATTTGGAACAACTTTGGACATTTTTGGATATTATTAGAGAGAATAAGGTGTTGACGCATCATGATAATTTATTGGAAGATAGTATCGAAAGTTTAAAGGCACAAGATGATGGTTGGAAAGAGCGTGTGGCTGCCAAATTGTTTTTAACCACCCATGGTAAGTCAACTATTATTTTCGGACCATGGTACATGGTAGAAATTTCTTTGCACTCTTACTCTTTGGAGCTGCTCTCACTTTTGGAATTTTTTTACTGAGCCATTCTCAACTGGAGCAAGAACAGTCATAATGTTTTCTCTGGATTTGGAACTCTCATAACGCCCATTCAATTTCAAACCTGTCTTGGAACGAGTCTTGCCTTCGCTTTTAAATTATGATTTGCTTATGTTTTGCATCTAGATGTCTTCTGATGTTTGATTCTTCGTCCACAGCTCTAATTCGACTTCTGTTGAAATTGAACTCTGTATTGTTTAATTTTTCAATGAAGCTCTTGATTGTGCGATGTACAGATAAAAAAAAAAAAATACCAAATTCAATCCTTTGCTATTGCAGATCGAAGATATCTTCTGCTTATGTACCTATGTATTAGGCTACTCATTCTGTGCTTCTATGTTTCTATAGAAAGTTCAAATTTTATAACGTGGCATCTAGAAATGTGCGTTTTCTTGACAGGGCGGAGGTCACAATCGCTATAATATAATCAGCAAAACACTCGAACAAAATTCCTGGTAAAGTGGCGAAGGTACCCAATAAGGCGAAGCTCAGTTTACTTCACTATACTTGACTATATTTAACATCGCGGACACAATTTCGCCTTTTGTTAATTAAGAAATTGAAAGTTAAAAATCATTCTCATGTAAATGTTTTATGTCGTAAATAGTCCGGTCTGGTTTGTATTTCCGTGTGATTTTTCGGTATGCAAAGCAAGCGGTTTTTTTTGAAGGGTTTCTTACGCACTAAGGTGTAATCACAGCATATACAAAAATAATCAGCAGGCTAACTTGAGTGACAGCCCGTGTAATAAAGGAATTCATGGTCGGGATGTCACTAGCGGCCATTTTGGGATACGAGACAGGGCCTGATTAACAATAATTTAGGTTTTTTCTTCCGTGTCACAGAGTCGTATTCGCTTTAAATAAATTAATTTATTATTACTTACATATAATAATATTTATAATTAGTAATTTATTATTATTATTAAATATACAACAATGATAACAGATAACACCATAAATGACAACACGAATATACTAAAATCACTTTGAAAATCATAACTAAAATTCTGCTCTACACCGCACGCCTATGACCTCTGTCAGAAATAAACAAATAAAATAAAATTTCGGCGTCCCTGCCGTTTACTGACAGTATGGTATCCCATAATGGCGGCATGCGCAGAAAAGATGCGCGTGAGAGTTAGCCTGCTGATTGTTTTTGTATATGCTGTGGTGTAATACCTACCTGTTTTCAGTCGGACCGCTATAAAATGTGTCAGTGTCTCGCAGTTGACGTAAGTGGCAATACCTTATTTTCAATTATCATTATTTTTCAACACAACAAACTAAAAAAGAAAAACACAACCACGAGGTAGATCATAGACTGCGCATGCGCATAATTTATTGTTGGAAAGCAATTATTTACATTTGAAATTTTTGAAAATATACAGGCTAATAGCCGTCTCCACCAACTATTTTAGGTGACCCTTAACGATACCTAAGTATTCCCTAAAATGACAGTCTTCCATGGAGAAATGCCAGTTTAGGGTATACCTACTTATCGTTGAGGCTCCCCTAAAATAGTTGGTAGAAATAGCCATAAGTCACTTCGTCATCGTCATTCGTCATTGTTTACACATTCAGATACTTGATGAACATAGTTCTGTACACAAAACATTACTTTGAGGAACATATATTCTGACAGTGCTCTATATTCTGACAGTTTTCAAAAAAATATGCTAAAACAAGAAAACTTAACGAAATAAGTTAGCAACCCTTTTAGTTTTGATATCCCTGATCTTATCCCCATAATTCCCCATTCCTTTATAATAAACGTCACACATAGAATAACGTCACAGAACATGACATATTTTTACGATTGTAATTTCTAGTATCAGTGTCTAGTCGGCCATTATAGGTGAATTAGCTGTCTTTTTACCAAGGTACGTGCGAATTTTTCTTTTTGTAGCTCAGTTTATTTACAATTTAAAGCTAAATATTAGAAGTTTTTGTTATTTCTTGAAAGAATATTGGTTAAATTTAATTAATTTAAAGGAACGTAGAAACCCATATTGTTCCTAATTCTGACACAAGGTGTCAGATTTAGGATATTCTACCAAATGCATTTCTCATTCATCGATCTCTTTAAATTGCATTGAAAAGTCATAAGAACCTCCTACTTTAATGATTTACAAATGTATTTTTATGAAAACCTAAATCTGGCAGGGGTGTCAGATTTAGGATCAAATAAATCGTTTTGATTTCAGACATTCAATATGGCCAGAAATACTGTAAATACTCTTGAAGAAGTTAAAAGGGGTACTGCAACAGCTGCAGCGAGCAGAACGAATGGAGTACCCCGGCAACTCTTATTTCTAAAATTAAAGGCACCTATCCAGAGGATTGCAAAAGCGGGAAAGCCACCACTTTACCAGATTCCGAAGAAAAAATCTTGGTGAAATGGATCATATCTGTGGGCAAAACAGGCTTTCCGGTCACTAAGTATCAACTTTTCGATAGTGTAGCTCTTTTGACTAAAAAATAAAAAATTAAAAAGAAATAATGAATTCACTGATGGTCGTCCAGGCAGAAAATGGTATGATGGATTATTAAAACGCCATCCCGAAATCAGTCTTAGAATGACCCAAAATTTAACTCGAGCAGCAATAAATGAACCAAAAATTAAATCTTGGTTCAGTGAAATAAATGAGTATTTTAAATCTAATAATATCGCAATAAATGACCTCGAAAGGGTCTTTAATGCAGATAAAGTTGGTTTTTGTTTAGCACCCGAGGGCAAACAGGCTTTAATTAAAGAACTACAGGTGATCCTCTATGTAGATGATCACAAGTCTCATTTAACGATGTACCTAACTTAGCAGTTTCTGCAGTGAGAAAAAAATTATCCTAATAAGCCTGGTCCCTAACGCCACTTATATTTTACAGCCATCCTTTAAAAACTAAATGAAGAAATTCTAAATCTAAATGGAGATTGGAAAATAAAAAACAGACATTAAAAAAAGAAAATTTTGTTCCGCTTTCAAAAAAATGCATTGAAGATCTAAATGCTAAAGATATATCGAAAAAATGCATTTAGAAAATGTGGTCTATTTCCATTCGATGAGAATTGTGTAGACTACTCAAAATGCCTGGATACCCGAAGCCAACTTTGGACAAGCTCCACATCAAACAGCAGACACTACCATAGAGGAAACCCCGAATAGGGAAGAAAATACAGGGCATTTTTTAAGATAGGTACCTTGAAAAAAGGATTGAACTGGAAACAACTAAAGCTTTCAAGCAGAATAATGGAAAACCATGGAATGGGAAAATAGAGCAAACAAGTTTGTTTAATATTTGGCAACAAATATATACAGAATGTGAGGAGAGAAAAAATGAGAATGGAGAAGAAATTCCAGTGATCATAATTGAAAATACAAATAGTTGAAAAAATACCAAATAATGTTAACATAGAAGACGATTGTATTATTTTGGAAGGGGACTGGATCAATGAATTTCTTCCTGAAGAAAATAATGACTCAACAATTTTTACTGAAACAAACGTTTTTTCTGGAGAATATGAATGCGAAGAATCAATAATGATTGACAATATTGGCACTAGAAAAATGGATCAGAACACTCTTGAAACGTATGAGAATAGAGAAAAAGAACGAGACTGAGCTGAAGTAGAAATAGTTAATGAAAACCCTAAAGAAATAGATCGTGATAAAAGCATGCAACAAAATGACGAACATAATAAAACTGATAACAATAATGGTGCGGAACTGGAAGAAGAAAACAATGAAAACAATAATCAAGAAACGATTATACAAAATAATACGAACGATCAAATAAGTTCAGCAATGCGAGAAAAATCTAAAACGCATTCAATTGACAAAGAAATTACTGAAGAAAGTAATCAGGACCCCGATTAACGAAAACTACAAAATCGATAACTTACCTATATTACCATCAACCCCAGGAAAATCCATTATAATAAATATAGACGGCAAAGAACATATTGAAGAAATTCTAGAAAAATCTATAATAAGAAATACAGATACAAAGCCGCCCAATAATGAAATTCCGTCGCCCTTCAAAAGTGTTTTTTTTCTGGACCACTAGTTTAGGTAATAAGAAAGAAAACAAAAATAAAGGAAAATATACCCAGTGTGTGTTCATCTGAGAAATGGAAAGGAAAAACTAAAAAAGAAAATGAAGTAAAAGAAAGAAATAGAAAACGAGAAGAACTTAAATAGTGGGAGCGCATAGGGCCAAAAATGCGGGGTTCGTAGGATATAAATGATTGAAGTTGACAACTTATTTTTTATCTTCAATTACATCATACTGAATGTTAAAACGTTTCTTGCCACTCTGATATATGCGTCGTTCGACCCCCACACCCCTCTTCACCCCTAATGGACTTTTGGACTTTCATCCTACACTAAATATTTGTCTCAGATTATTGTCTTTGAATGCGCGAATAGCGGACAATTTCATATTGAAGATATAACATAATATTGTCAATATTACCATGAAAGATATCTTATCGCACGGTACAACCAAGAACGAATTGTCACATCTTTCAAAAAAAAAAAAATTAAAATCCAATGTTTTTCGACAAAAGCCTTTCACAGTTGCTTTTCAATTGCTATTCATACCAAAAAGGATATATAGGAGAACTTGCTAGCAGTTAAGAAGATGAAACGAAGATGCTTTTACTAACAATATGTTCCCCAGATACAGTTTCCATTTTTATTTTGAATAACTACTATATCTTCGACTGTCAAGTTATTTTCAACACGAGAAACAGAGAAAAAAAAAACGGAAAATTCTTTCTGCTATAGTAGAAAAAATAACGAAACAACAAAGAGATGCATTACCCGCCTTCCATGCGTTATCTGGTTGTTATACTACTGGCGGATTTTCAAGGAAAGGTCGTACTAA